ATCTCAGGGATTTTTATCACCTGTTTTTGACCAGCCCATCCCGGGCCCGTAGGAACGTCTTGGTAGGTGCAGTTCATAGTGCTGAGGTTTCACACCTCAAGTGTGTCCCTGGAGAACTTGAGAAGTCGGGCATGCTGTATGGGTGCTTGAACACTCTCGCGATGGGAGATTGTCAGGCCGTGGAACTCGCTCAGAGCTGCCACTTGTCGATGGGATTGCAACACCAGGTGATCAACTCTGACACCTTTTTCACCTTCCGCAAGCCACTTCCTCGATCCAGTGCTTTTGCAGGGCTGATCATAGATGACTTCATCAGCTTTGCAGTTGTCGATCGAGACCTTGTCCCTGGTTCGAGTGAGATGGGGCCAAGATGGCTGAGCAGATGCTTCATCAAGCTGATTCCCAATGAAGACAAGTCCTTTCGGGATAAGGTCCAAAGTTCGTTTTGGGGGGTTGACCTTGATGGTGAATCTGGGTTGCTGCGTGGGTCGCTGCGTAGGGCCATCCCTCTCTTTAGCATGCTGATTGAAGTTGCCGAGATAGGCCAAGCCACTGGCAATTTACTGCAGATCCTATGTGGTAGCCTCATTTCGCTTTTTGTTTTCCGCAGGCGGTTTCTGTCCCTCATGGATCCCTTGTTCGCTGCTGTGAGTTCCCATGGACCTCGAGAAGTCTTTGCCTTGTCAGGCGAGGTGAAAAGCTGTCTTTTGACATGTGCCAGTCTGCTTCCAGTTGCTGTGACAAACCTTCGTGCTGCAGTGCCCGAACGCATTGGGGCCAGTGATGCCAGTAATTGGGGGGAAGCTGGAGTGGCGTGCCAGGTGCCCCGAGCCTTTTGTAAGGAGATGCTGAGGCACACTCTGCAGAAGAGCATCTGGGTTAAGCTTTTAGCTCCAGCTGCTGCCTGGCTGAAGTCTCATGGGCAGCTTCCGATCTCGGAAGAGGTCCGCGATCCAGAGCAAGCTTATCAGTCCAACCCACTGTGGGGGCTGTGCGCTGATGGGCTCACCTATCACCTGGTGTTCAGCAAAGCCAAGACCTCCAACCGACACATAAATATAGGTGAACTCCGTGCAGCCCTGAAGTTGGAAAAAAGTTTCGCCCACTCAGTGCCAAGTAGCAGACACCTGGTTGGACTTGACTCTCAGGTGGCCCTAGGATGTTTGATCAAGGGTCGAAGCAGCTCACGGTGAGAGGAGTATACCCACAATGCTCGCTTTTGATTCCTACCTTGAATGCCTATATTTTTCTACCCTCATCAATCGGGCTGATGACCCGACCAGGGGGAAGGAGATCAGGCCTCCCGGCCGAGAGTGGCCGTCTTGGTGGACAGACGTGTGCAATGGTAACTTCGAGGAGTTTGATTCCTGGCTAGCTAGTTTTCGGCTTGACGATTATTCAGTGTCCGGATTGCCGCCGCTTGAAGAGCTTTGTCCCTGCAAGCCGGCTGATGCGCCATACCAACCACCCCCTAAGGTAGACCGCACCTTAAGTAACCCATGCGCCCCGAGTGAGAGCGTGCTAGAGAAGAATGGGAGCAGGTCGGAGTGCAGCCAAGCCAGAAGCTGCAAGGGAAGTCGCCTCCCAGCCGAGCGTGTCGATGCACTTAGAGCCTTTCCCAGAAACCAGTTTGTGATGCCAGCTGATGCCGACTGGCCTCCAAGCACTGTAGGTTTCCTTGACCTCTTTGCCGGTGAACGTGGTGTTGCTAAGGCTTTGGCAGCTCGAGGGTTTTGGAGCCTTTGCTTTGATATTTGCCACTCCCCTAACGAGGACCTTATGGATCCCAACCTGCAGAACCTACTTGAGGCTTTGCTAGCTTCCGGTTGTTTTTGGGGCCAGTGTGCACCAGCTTTAGCACTGCAATTACGCCGCCTATTCGAAATGCTTCTGCCCCGTATGGTTTGGGTAACCTGCCTCAGCACACCAAGGTAAAAGTCGAGTATGGGAATCGCATGGCTGCTTGGTTTATTTCCTTTTTGGCTGCAGCTCTCTTGGGCTCGGGATAGAGGTGTGGATGGAGAATCCAGCTAGTTCCTGGATGTTTAGGCTCCCTGAGTTTGTTGCTCTGACTGAACATTTTCCTCAGCTTCAGTCCTGGATTGTAGACTACTGCAGATTCAAGAAGCCGTGGCGGAGGCGAACCCGCTTCGCCCTAAGTTGCAAGCTAGGTGGCACTAAGCGCCTTTGTCAATGCCATAAGCCGCACCAAATTTTGAGGGGCCGGTCCAAGGCCCACCGACAGAATTGGACCAGAGTGGCTCAGGCTTATCCCAGGGGTGTTTCACTTGTTAGCCAGCAGCCTCAGCCACGCCGTTGACTCCGGAGAGAGGTCTAGGCTGTCCAATGCAGGTTGTGCCAAGACCGGAAGCCTTCGAGTAGGCGAAGCCAAGAATCCCGGGCCACGGCCGTCCCGGGGTAGTCGTGCAGGGCTGCTTGAAGCTATCCCTCTTGTTGAGCCCAGAACCGCTTGCTTGCAAACCAAGGTCTGGACGGGGTTTCATGATTGGGTGTCACACCGGTTAAGCCCTGGGGCGTGTAGGTCCGCCATGGCTCATCCTTCGCTGTTGATTGCGTTGCTGCAGGAGTACGGGAGTTTTCTCTACAGCCAAGGGACGCCCCTCTACATTTTTAGACATCTGTTGGTTTACGTTCAGCAGAACTTCAACAGCTGCAAGCCTTATATGACCCCATGTTGGCAGTTGGTCACTCGCTGGGAGATAGCAGAGCCTCCCACACACCGAGTCCCTGTTCCCTATGTGGTCTTCAAGGCCATCATGAGTACGTGCTTGCTGTGGAAGTGGTACAGGTTTGCTGCTGTGGTGGGTCTGAGCTTCTATGGAATTTCTAGGCCTGGTGAACCCCTTCGCGAGTTCCGGAGATCTCTCCTGCTGCCAGCCGACTTGCTGTCAGATGACCACAATACAGCGTATCTCCAGGTGAACAACCCGAAATCCGGTCGACGTGGTGGAGGTCGGATACAGCACGTGACGATCCAAGATGCTGCATTCGTGAAGTTTCTTTCTAGGGTGTTTGGTAAGGATCCACCAGAGAAGCGGCTTTTCGCGTGTTCGGCTAGCGCCTTTCGACGGCGGTGGGATGCAGTCTTGCATGCTTTGACGTTGCCAAAGGAGATCAAGCTAACACCTGGCGGCCTGCGTGGTGGAGGTTGTGTCCATTCGTTTCAGTCAGGAGTGGCTCTTCCCTTGCTTTTGTGGAAGATGAGACTGAAGCATCAGGGGACGTTGGAGAACTACCTCCAAGAGGTCGTGGCCAACTCAGTGGTTCCTTCTCTTAGTCCTGAGAGTCGGAAAGAAGTACTTGGGGCTGCTCAGCTTTTTGATTTGCTTCTGACAGCTCTTCCAGAACGCTGACCTCTACTGCACAAGGAGCATTAGAGTTTGTGGTGCGAAAGCAGCGCAAGCCTTGGCCTTGGCCAGCCTTCACGGGTGGATGTTGTACGATCAGCTGACAAAGGATTTTGAGCGACTTGTGAGGCCCTTTTGACTGCTATCCAATTTGAGGAGCCTTTTCCACTACAATCGTCTATCTCCTCCTTTTACTGGATCTGCATTTTTGGGTTAGTCAATTACATCCTGAAGTTTGTCATCCGATCAGTTCGCAAAACTCACCGAAGGTGGGCTGCAGAAAAAGAGGTGCTGCAGCGTGTACACTGATGGAGGCCAAACATGTATATGAATAAGTATTAAAGTAATTCAATATCTATGTATATATATATATATACTACACGTGCGTACTTCAATTCAACCCACAAAACATACGTGTCGCCCACAAGGTCTTATCATGCTGTATGATCGTGTTGGCAGGTTTAGGGTTCTTAGGGTTTAGGTTTAGGGTTTTTAGGGTTTAGGTTTAAGGTTGTTAGGGTTTAGGTTTAGGGTTTTTAGGGTTTAGGTTTAGGGTTGTTAGGGCTTAGGTTTAGGGTTGTTAGGGTTTAGGGTTTAGGTTTAGGGTTTTCAGGGTTTTTAGGGTCTTTGTTGGGTTTAGGTTGAAGGTTTTTAGGGGTTAGGTTTACGTTTTTAGGGTTTAGGTTTGGGGTTTTGAAGGTTTTTAGGGTTTAGGTGAAGGGTTTCTAGGGTTTAGGTTTGCTTGGAGCTGGCTGTCCGGTGCGTCCGAGGCTGGCTTCTCTGGTTTAGATTTAGGGTTGT